AGAATGGACTATGAGATGCCTGTGAAGCATTCAAGCAAAGTGATGAATAGTCATTCATTCAACAATTATGTACCGAGCACCTGATACATGCCAGGCACTGTTCTAGGTGCTTGAGTATATCATAAGTGAAAAAAATAAACAAAAAACAAAGAACCCTACCCTCAAGGAGCTTACTTTTTAGAGAAGGACACAATAAGAATAATAAATAAGTGAATCATGTAATAAATTGGAAGGTGATATGTGCTATAGAAAAAAAAAAATCAGACAAAGGGAATCTCTAGAGTCCTGGGCAGCGCTGAGTGAGTTGAAATTTTAAATAGGGTGGTCAGGACTGGACTTATTGAGAAGCTGACAAGGGTCTGACGCTTTGGGGTGAGGTTTATCTGTTAAATTGGCAATAATACCTGTCATGGAGTTCTGAGGATTAAATGAGATATGTAAAAGGTCTGGTGAATACATAGTTGCTAAAAAAGTTTTAAACCACTTCCCCACCCTAAACTGCTGTAGGGCTTAATCAGTCTGAAACAGGCAAATTTTAAGATAAGCAGAATGTGAGTGTGCATCCCTTCTTTACCAAGAAGACACGAAGAGAAAAGTATCCGTCTTTGTTGCTTTGCTGTTACTAATGATGACTTCTGAGTCATTATCCATAAGAAGTGCTGGGGAAAGAAATCAGAGTTACTTATACAAAATTATAGGATAGGAAGAAGATCCTATTGGGTCAATATAAAAGTGCACCTGGACAGGGTGAGGGTGGGAGTGAAGGGCTGCAAGATTTCCACTTTATATGAAGTGATACAGTGTTAACTTGAAGTAAACTGTGGAAAGTTAAAGATGTATATTGCAATCCTTAGAGCAACCACTGAAAATTCATGCAAAGAGGTATTTAATTTAATAGATTAAATTAAATTTAAATTCAAAACAATACTGAATTAATCCAAAAGAGGTCTGGAAAGGACGTACAGAGTCAAAAAAGAAAGGGAACAGACAGCAAATAAATAGTAAAAGACTAGACTTAAATCCAGTCATCTCAATAATTTCTATCAAGTGTTAAAGCACTAAACAATTAAAATATAGAAACTTCCAGAATGTCAGAAAAGCAAGATCCAACTATGTATGTTGTCTCTAAGAGAAACATTAAAGATACAGATAAACTGAAAGTAAATGGATGGAAAAAAAGATGTGCTGTGCAAATGGTAAGCATAAGAGGGCTGGAACTACTATAATATCAAAGAAAGACGACTTGAAAATGAAGAGCATTACCAGCTATAAAGAGAGATATTTCATAAGAACAAAGGGTTAATACATCAGAGACAGAACAATCATAATATATGTGTGCCTAATAATGAAGCTTCAAAACACATAGACAACAACTGACAACTAAAAGGAGAAAGAGAAAAATCTACTGTCCTAGTTGGGTATTTAACACCTATTTCTTAGCAATTCATAGAACATTTAGACCAAAAAATCCCCCCAAAAAACAAAAAACCCCAAATCTGTAAAGACATATCATATCTGAGAAACACTACCAACCATCTTGACCTAAGTAACACTGATAGAGCACTATGCCGAATACCTGTAGGATATTATGTTCTTTCCAAGAACACATGTTACATGTACCATGATAATTCATATGCTGGGTCATAAAATAAATCTCAACAAATTTAAAACGATTAAAACCACACAGATAATGAATTAAATGAGAAAGGAATTAAACTAGAAATCAGTAAGGAAAAGATATCTAGGAAAACCTCCAATACTTGAAAAGTTAACACAAATAATTTATAGGTCAAAAAAGAAATCAAGGAATGCAATGTACAGCATAGGGAATACAGTCAATAATTTTCTAATAACTGTAAGGTGACAGATGGTAACTAGACTTATCATGGGGATCATTTCATAATGTATAAAAATATCAAATCACTGTGATGTACACCTGAAAACAGGATACAGCATGTCAATTAGACTTCAATTTAAAAAAAATCATGAACAAGTATGCTCATTGCACACTATTTCTTTTTTTTTTTTTAAGATTTTATTTATTTATTTGACAGAGAGAGACAGCGAGAGAGGGAACACAAGCAAGGGGGAGTGGGAGAGGGAGAAGCAGGCTTCCCATGGAGCAGGGAGCCCGATGCAGGGCTTGATCCCAGGACCCTGGGATCATGACCTGAGATGAAGGCAGACACTTAACGATTGAGCCACCCAGGTGCCCCTGCACACTATTTCTAACTGCAAAAATCTGAAAAAAAATCAAACGTTTATCAATAGATTCATATGATGAAATACCATGCTCAATATAAATGAATGAAATATGATTACATGCACAAAAATATTAAATAAGGAAAATAGGAAAGCAAAGAACTCAATATTTTAAGTAGGCAAAAGATTTGAACATTTTACAAAGAAGAGATACAGACAGGGCACCTGGGTGGCTCAGTCGGTTAAAGCGCCTGCCTTCAGCTCAGGTCATGACCCCAGGGTCCTGGGATGGAGTCCTGCATCAGGCTCCCTGCTCAGTGGGGAGTCTGCTTCTCCCTCTACCCCTCCCCTCTTCTCGTGATCTCTCTCACTTTCCCTCACAAATAAATTATTTAAAAAAAAAAAAAAGAAGAGATACAGATAGCAAATAAACTATCATTAGTCAACATCATTAGTCATTAGGGAAATGTAAATTAAAATTATAATAAGATACATGAGATACCTGTTTAGAAAGACTAAAAATAAAGTCTGACCATACCAGTTGTTGGAGAGCATGTGTAGGAACTGGAGTTCTCATACACTGCTGATGGGAAAGTAAAATGGTATAACCACTTTTGGCAATTTGCTAGAAAACTGAAGACACCTACCACATGGTCCAGCCATTCTACTCCTAGGTATGTACCCAAGAGAAAAGAAATCTTATGTCCATACGAAGCCTTACACACAAATGTTCTCAGCAGCTTTATCTGTATAGCCCCAAACTGGAAGCAACCTACATGTCCATCAACAGGTAAATGGAGAAACAAATTACAATACAGCCACACAATGGAGAAGTACTGAGTAATAAAATTTTGAATGAACATGTGATAGCATGAATGAATCTCAAAATAATTGTGCTGAAGGAAGCCAAACAAGAACAGTATATACTGTGATTCCATTTATATAAAACTCCAGAAAATGCAAATTAATCTATAATGACAGAGAGTAAAGCACTGGTTACCTTCCCCTGGAAGGAACCAAGGGAAGAGATTGGAATCACAAAAGGGAAAATGGAAACTTTTGGGGGTGATGGAGATGTGTATTATCTTAATTGTGGCTATGATTTCACAGGAATATACATATGTCAAAATTCAGCAAAGTAAACAGTTTATGCGTTTTATTTTATGTCAATTAAGGCTCCATAAAGTGTTAAAAAAAAAAACAGCAAAACCAAAAATGTTATTTAGGAACACAAACACAAATGAGAAAATTACAAAGTAAAGCAAAGGGATGGTTAATTCAAAATTCAAAACAGCAATTACCTGGAGTGGAGGTAAGAGAAAAAGGCACCAGTGGGAGAAGCAGGTAGGGACCTTGTCATGTTCTGGCCCAAGTAATATTCTATATATAAAACTGGGTGCTGGGCATCTTACTATCATTCCTTTGTGTTTTATACGACCTTTTGTATATATGATGTATTTCACAATTTAGAAAAACAAAAGAGTCTGTGGTGAGGACCCCAAAGGAATGTATCTCTATTAGCTAACCCGCATTTTATCATTTTTGGGAAGGACACCCTCAGATCTTTTCAAATAAAAGTAAGGTCTTTCATATCTGATCTGTGTGATCTGCTCTTTGAGACTGACAGGTTATCAATTTCAAAGAAGAAGGAATGGAAAGATCAAGCAGAAAAGCTATTGTTTAACACCCTAACTTATTATATTTCTGTGCCCATTAAGTAAGTCGTTGCCTATCTTCTCACAACCTTGGCATGGGGTAAATAGTATACAGGTAAGTACTTACCAGTTAAGAGTACAGTTATCCTCCTTGCACTTTCTCTAGATCATGCAGCTCTCTTCCTCATTTTTGTTTACTCGGTTACTATCCTTATCAACCACCAAAATACAAGCTATAGTAAATTCACTGCTCTCATCCCCCTCCCTTTGCTTGATAACAAATTCTGCTGGAAGGAAGGTCTTGGAATCTCACTTTAGATCATCGCACCGAGTAAGAAGGGAACTCTGTGTGCTTCCCACATAATTTGAGAGCCAAACAAGTTTAGGTTTCATTTGGAAAAGGGGAGCTGTGTTCCAGGCTTGGCTCTGGGACGAGCTATTTTGGATGGCCTGCACATGTCCTCTGCAACTTCATCAGTGAATTTTTAATCAAAAGATCTTCGAAGAATGTGGTGCCAATTCACTTTCCACGACAGCCACTGCAAAACATACACTTCGTTGGGTTTTGTTTCGTTCCGCTTGGTTTCTGCGTGTTGGCTTTAGCCACTTCCCTCAGCCGCCACCCCCGTACAACAGTCCGCCTGAAATGGTCATTTAACGTGGCGCTGGAGCCTCTCAACACTAGTTTGCTGAAGTCTGTACCTCCTGGAGGTGATTTTAACCTCCTGAAAGCGTCCCCGAGGCCACGGACTCGAGTTAAGGGAATATTAACAAATACATTCTAAAGGTCTTAAACCTACACCGCTTTACCGAGCTCGAGATTTGCACAGCGGCGCCCCACCCCCGGGCAAACAAGGTCACGCCCTCCGGGGGACCAGGCCCCTGGGCCTTTAATAAAGCCGCGGCCGCCTTCCCGCCTCCCCCACCCAACCCCGAGCGCGCACTTCCGGCCGCGGGGGCGTTCGGGAGCGCGCCTCGCGAGTCTCCACCAACCAGCGGCTCCGCCTGGCCGGCGCGAGGACGCGCGCGCACATTTGTGCGCAGGTTCGAATCTCCGCCGCTTCGCGGTAGCTCCCCAACGTCCGGCAGTACCTCGGCCGCAGTGAGGGCAGCGCGCGCGGGCTGCGCCGGGCCCGGCCGCCCCGCCCCCGCCGCCCGCCGCCCGCTCGCCCCGCCCCCGCCGCCCGCCGCCCGCTCGCCCTGAGCAGGTCTTCGCCCGCCCCCGCGCGCTCCGCCCTCGCCCTCCGCCCCCGGAGTTAGCCGCGCTCGGCCTCCCGCGCCGGGCGGGCTCCGCCCGAGGCTCCGGGGCCCATGGCCAAGCGGCGTGCGGCCGAGCCGCTAACGTTCCACGTGCCTTGGAAGCGGCTCCTGCTCTGCGACTTCCCCGAGGAGCCGCCGCCGCTCTGGATCCCGCCGCCGGGGGCCTCCCATCCCGGGCAGCCAGTCGGCGCGCCGGAGCTGCCCCGAAAGCGCAAAATCGACGCGGGGGCTATGACTGAGCCTTCAGCTTCGCCCAGCAAGCGCCGCGACGGCCGGGACAGCAGCGTTCCGGGCGGCGTGCAGCGTGAGGGCCGAGGCCTGGAGACGGGCGAGCCGCCGCAGCAGCTGCCTCCCGTGCGGCCCCGCGGGCCAGGGGAGGAGCCCCGGGGCGCCCGGCCCCCGAGGGGCGGTGGCGACGACGGGGCGGGGCGCACAGAGCCCCGGCGGGGAGACTGGGGGGCAGCGCCGCGCCAGGTAGGGGCTGGGGGCTGGCTGAGCTCTCCAGAGGGCGGGCGGGGTGAGGGGAGAGGGGGTCACCCTTTACGCAGCCACTGCGCGCCCCGGGAGGGAACAGATTGTCCCCGTCTTGACTCGGGCTCATCAGGAAGCCCCAAAAGGCGAAAAGCAGGGGTCCCTGCTGCAGGAAGGACTCGGACTCCCAGGCTACACAGGAAGGGCCCCAGAGCCCTTGGCCTCTTGGCGGCGTTTGGGGAGAGTCCTGGGGGCTGAAAGCACCTGGCTAAACGAGGGGGAAACAGTCCGTCCGGTGGGGTAGACGTGGGCTTGCACCTTCAGTGCCTGTCCTGTGTAAGAGGGAAGCAGGAGGGTGGGTCACGACAGACCTGAGCTTTCTGGAGACTTTGTGAACCGCGATAGGTCTGCTCAAATGGAGAAAGGTGCAGCGCGCCTTCCTTGGCTTAACGATTTCTTCTAGAATTCGTGATAGATTTCTTTCTAAAGAGTGCGACCAATGTGGTGGCCATCAGTTGGACGGCCTGTAGGCATGGGACCGCACTTCTGGTAGAGGAAGGCCCCTCCTCCCTATCTTGGGAAAAGGCATTAAAAAACTCACAGGGTTAGATCGGATCCAGTGAAGAAGGACCATTGTTGAAAATTGATTTGGACCCTAAAGTAAACCGTCTACTAGGATCATATATAAGAGTTCTTATTCTTTGGGAAACGAGCCTGCCCCATCTCTGCACCTAAGAGCTGACTTGTCTAGATCTCTGCTGTTCAATAGGGCAGCCACTAACTGCGTGGAACGACTGAAAACTTGAAATGTGACTAGTCCAGATGGAGTTGTGCTATAAGTGTAAAATACACTCTAGATTTCGAAGATCTCAAAAATTTTTATATTGATTACGCATTGAAAGAACTTGGAGATACTTGGTTGAATAAAATGTATGAAAATTTACCTGTTGTACTTTTTTTAGTATGGCCACTAGAAAAATTTATGTTCGTGGCTGGCATTATATATTTATTGGACAGCTTTGGTCTAGACTTAGGAATTCAGGGCTGCTTTTTGGCAGTTCTGGGTTGACTTACCAGAAGCTTTGGGAATACGAAGACCAAATGTAGGGCTCAATTCACCAAACTCTTCAAGCACCACATCATAGCATCCGTCTCACATTTTGCCATTGTTTTAAGTATCTTATGTAGAATTTACCAAATGCCTTGCTAGACAAAAAGTGAATTGAGGTTCCTTTGGCAGGACGTCTTGGTGAAAAACCCAATAAAATGAGAATTTGGTAGTTGGGAAGGAGCTTTTTCTGTGGTTGTAAGAAATTACCTTTGGACAGTACGATGAGCATTTCTGGATGAAATTCTAAATTGTAAATATTTCCACCCCCAGTTGTCTTGGAATTTAGAAAACGGGTTTTTTTAGACTTTTTTTTCAGGTTGCTTTTAGATGTTCAGAATCTGCTTACTTAAAACCGAATGATAGCACTTACGTTTTGAAAACAGAATAGTTAGAATTTACAGTTATAGCGTGTGTTGCCAATGGCAAACCCTAAAATAACCCCAGAATGATAGTCATCCAGACCTATTTGATATGGAGATAACTACCGTGCACTTTGAAAACTTTTCCTCTTGAGACCATTTTGGTACCCCACCCATATATGGACTTGTCTTTTCTACCAGAACATATTGACTGCAGTATGCCACAGATTGATAAGAAGGAAATATGGAGAATTTTTTAGTGGACTGACACAGACACCTTCTTAGAATCTCTTAGATACACCAGTATTTTTTTTTTTTTTTTAGATTTTATTTATTTATTTGACAGCCAAAGAGGGAACACACAAAGGGGGAGTGGGAGAGGGAGAAGCAGGCTTCCGGCCCAGCAGGGAGCCCGATGTGGGGCTCGATCCCAGGACCCTGGGATCATGACCTGAACCAAAGGCAGACGCTTAACAACTGAGCCACCCAGGGGTCCCATACACCAGTATCTTTCACAGCAGTGACTACATCTGGCCGCTCTGCTTCCTAGTCACTCTATAGTGTGACTATAGCAAGGACATGGCAAGGACTAACCTTGGCCATAGGGGTACCTTCTTCACCAAGACAATCCCTGTTCTTTTCTTTTGGCAAAAGCCTAGGAATCCTCATGTTTCTTCCTTTTGTTAGTTTTGTTCATTAGCTTCTTGTCTTCTGCAAATTTAAGAGGAACATGTTTTCTCCAGCTCCTCTCTTTCCTGCCTCCAAAGATGGAGGTTTTTTGTTTTAAGAGATTTCCAGTGAATTTTCAAGATACAGGGTATAATGAAAATATGGAGACGTTAAAAAGTCTTCTCAATTCATGCAGTATATGTCTCCCTGGTTCCTGGCACTCAGAATAGTCCCTACCCTCACTCTTGGGATCTCATTTAGGAAAAAGTTTCTCAAAAATGTCCTTTCTACATTGAGAATTCAATTTAGGCAGAATAATGATACCTTTTTTCTGTCCTACAACCTCAGAATATTTTTTGAGTTGTCTCAGATGGTTTTTTTGTTGTTTTTTTCTGTTGTTTTGTTTTGGTGTTTTTAGCCAGAGAACTAAAATAAAACCAGGTATTACTTAATTAAATATTTGTGTGTTTTCTCATGATAGTGTTACTATATGCAGATTCATTGCTCTGTGCTGACCCTATTAGCTATTTTTAATGGAAAGTAAGAAGAAACGGTTTTTTGTTTTTTGTTTTCTATTCCTAAGAAGAAAGTAATGAATGATTCATGGGTTTCTTGGGCTAGCAGTATTGAGCAATTACAGTACTAATCCTTAATTTGAAAGAGAGTCCTGGGGGCGCCTGTGTGGCTCAGTTGGTTTAGCGTTGGACTCTTGATTTTGGCTCAGGTCATGATCTCAGGGTTGTGAGATCATGGATCTAGTTGGGCTCTGTGCTGGGCATGAAGCCTGCTTAAGAGTCTTCCTCTCCCTCTACCCCTCCCCCCTAAAATAAATAAATAAGTAGATAGGTAGAAATATATTTTAAAAAAAGAAAAAGAGCCCTGCATTTTACCGATGAGGAAACAGACTTAGATCAAGGTCCGAGTTAGTGGGTGGGGGAGTTATCATGCAAACCCAGGTCTATCTGGTGGCAAAGTTTGTGCTCTTAGCTACTAGGTTACACTGATGTCATTAAAGAATCTTTTTTGGGCCCATGTTTATAAGTAGGTATTTTGAACAGTAGATTTTTTCCAAAAGGCAGAGATACAGACCCTTGTTTTTAACCCTTCTTGCTTATCAAAATGAATTTTTTGGGGGGACATCATTTGAATTACTGCATTTTTTTTATCCCAGCGTAAAGAAATTCCAAAGACACTCTTAATTCTCTAAGCCTTAGTGTCTAAGACACTCAGTGTACTTCCTACTGAAATTTCCTAATAGGCTTGTGTCGTCCAGTAAAGTAACTAGCAACATGTTGCTATTGAGCATTGAAATGTGGCCAGTCTGAATAGTGCTGGAAGTGTAAAATACTTGCCAGATTGTGAAAACTTAGTATGACAAAAAGAATGTAAAAGATTTCATTAATTTTTTAAAAATGACTGCATGTTGAAATGATAATATTTTTGATATATCAGGTCAAATAAAATATTGTTAAGAGTAATTCCATCTGTTTCTTTTTTACTTTTTAAAATTACAGACGTGGCTTTCATTATATTTCTGTTGGATAGTGGTATTACAGCAAGTATGAGCCTAAAGTGAAAACACAACCAAGTAGAATAGATATATAAATACTCATCTGGTTAGGGTGTTAACCTTCAAACTGGTCACCTTGGAATCCTGTATATAATTCCAGTGCTGCTTCCTTGCACAGAGTATTTTTGGGTTGCTTTTGAAATTCTGTGCCAATTTTGAACTTCATTGGAACATCAGCTTCACTTCATAATAACTTGAAACAATATTATAGCCATTCAAAGGAATCTGTTGAATTTTAAACGGGACAGTACTCAACTTGGATTTATCAGTGTTAATATACTGATTTAAAAGTCCTGCCATGTACCAAATCTTGTATCTTTAATAAAATAGTTTAAGATTTTCTTGCTATTTAGCATGTTTATAGCCTAAAGTTTTTTGGCAAGGTGTCAGAATATTTTAGCGTATGTAAAGTCAGTCCCTTAAAATACCAAACCTCAGGGGAAAGACCAAAAATAAGTTGTAGGTATGTGTGTCCAATTGTTTCCTCACTGAAAGGTTAAAAAAAAAAAAAAATTTAAGACCATTTTCCAACGTTTTCTTTGGTTGAAAAATAGAAGAAAATTATCAAGAAGAGATGCTCTTGGGGGCACCTGGGTGGCTCAGTCGTTAAACGTCTGCCTTTGGCTCAGGTCATGATCCCAGGGTCCTGGGATCGAGCCCCGCATCGGGCTCCCTGCTCCGCGGGGAGCCTGCTTCTCCCTCTCCCACTCCCCCTGCTTGTGTTCCCTCACTTGCTGTGTCTCTCTCTGTCAAGTAAATAAATAAAATCTTTAAAAAAAAAAAAAAGAGATGCTCTTGGAAGAAATTCTTCTAAATTTAAACTACTAACAAAATATTTTCACAAATCCATGAATATGAAAATGCACAGATTTGACTGAGTCCATGAAGCACTTTGATTAGGGAGAATTTAAAGGTGTATTTGTTGAAGATGCAAAGTAAAAGACCACAAAATCTAATGTGAGTTTGCTTTTAAAACAAAATTTGTTTCCTGAAAAAAAAAAAGTAACTTTCTATAAAGCATTGATGTACTTTCATCTTTCTTTTCTCCCTAAAGCTCAATGAAGAATTTTGGCAGTATAACACCTTCCAGTACTGGAGGAATCCTTTACCACCTATTGATCTGGCAGACATCGAAGATGTAGTTGAAGACAACCCGCCAGAAGCAACGCTTCAGGGCAAGGATGAAGTGGTTGAGATTGACATGGAGTCCTGACAGAAGGAACTGAAGAATAGGTTTCTCTGAATTTGAGGAGGCACCTCTTAAGTGAATTCACATATTCTTAAGGAAAAAAGTTATTTTCCATACTTGATGTGATACCATTCCCAAACCTGAAAAATGAGGAAAAGTTGTTTTAAAGATAAATGCCTACAGTCAATACTGAAACTTTCAAAAGGGATTTGTCAAGGATGTAGTGCAGTTACAGGGGAAGTGTTTTATATATGTACTCTTAAAGAAAAATTTATGTTTAGACTCAGTTTGAAAATACTGATCTTATAAAAAGGAATTCTGGCAGTTTTAGAAATAGGTGGGGAACACTCAACTATTCCTCTTCTCTGTACCAAAAAGTTAATTTGTGGTACATGAAATGAATATTGTTTTATAATAACTCTTATTAATAAAATGCTTTCTAGTACATTGTATTGACTCTTCTTAGTTGAATAGATAGCTGACTTAAACATCTATGCAAACTTAAAATGTAGGGGGTTAAAGGTGGTATAGTTTTAAAAGAACTTTCTAAATGTAAAGTAGTGAGAATTTCATTTGGGTAGCATGTTTGCATAGTTTCCAATGTTTGATATTTTTTGGGGAATCCTAAATGGGTAAAGAACAATGAGGAGCAAATAGGTGCTTCCCTCCCCGTTTTCTTAGGATGAAAAGAAAGAAATTTAGTTGTATTTCTTAATTTCTTGGTTTTGAATTGTTTTGACGGCATGGTTTTTATTGCTTTTTACTTAAGACTTGTTCTCAACACAGACAACACTTCAGAAATCCTTGCCTGAGCCCCACTGGAGAGATTCCCATTTAATTGAGATGGGCCTTGGTTATAGCTATTTTTTTAAGCACCAGTCCTCCTTTTCCCCAATCCTAATGTGCAGACAACTTTGAGAACCACCAGACTAATGGTAGTTTTTCCTATTTAAAGGAGATAACTAATTTGAGATGAAGCAACTCCTCTTAATTAGCTTTGTTTTTATTTCGCTCTTTCGATGGCTTTGTTACAACTTAAATTATTGTGTTATTACTATTTCATTGTTAAAAAATAAAGTAAGCAGTTTGTGTTTGAGTTGAGTATCAATGATTAAGTTAATTAACTTTTGTACTACATCTAGAATGTTGGCTTTGTAATCGAGTAACTTGTCCTTGTATATTTTTTGTTAATGACAGTAGATCCAAAATTCAGAAAGGGTGATAAATGCCAATGAGAGAGAAAAAAAGCCCAATGTTTCTTATATATCTGTAGGATTTAAATATGGGTTGACATTAATGAGAATATTCTAGAACAAAAGACATGTACTATGGTTAAGAAGGCTTTGGTGTCAGACATGATTCAAAGGCTTGTACTGCCACTTTCTACCTATGTAACATTAAGCAAGTTATTTTTCATCTTCAAGCCCCAGGTTCCTTAATTGTAAAATGAGAAACAATAAATAGTATCTACCTCAGAGAGGCTATGTTTATTGTCAAGCAATATACTAAGTACTTTAACTGCATCTTGTTTAATTCTCATAATAACCTTATTGTAGGTTAAAAAAATAGAATAAATATGCTTTTTGTAGTTATACTTAATTCCACTTTAAGTTGCCACTAGAAATTTCAGGATAAGAATTGGAATTGAAATAACAAGGATGGCAAGCAAGTGGGGGAAGCAGTTAAATTGCTGTGGAAAAAAAAAAAAAATGGCAAACTTTCTTCCCTCTCCTGTTTGACTTGAGGGTAGGAAGGGGTCTGTTTTTGTTCACTGCTCTTCCTACTGCCCAGAACAGTGCCTGTTACATAGTAGATAGTCAATAAAAATCGCATGAGCAAATTAATACGTGTTCTATTAATGGGAAAGTAATGGCAACCATTTTCTAGGAACATATCACAAAGCTAGGCATTTTACCAAAGATGTGCATACAAAAGATGTGTCACAGAGAGCACATAGTAAAACACTGGAAATAGTAAAACACTGGAAACAAGAATGTAAAAACTAAGACATGTCCACCTAATGAACTATAGGAGGCGGTCATCTACTTTAATGAGAAATTTCATAGATACTACATTGCAGGTGAGTGAATAGGAGATTCAAGTGTGCTCAGACGGGTTTCTGGCTGATCAGTTGGTAGAGCTATGCAACGCTTGATCTCAGGGTTGTGAGTTCAAGCCCCACCATCAGTGTTAAAGCTTACTTGAAAAAAAAAAACAACACCTCAGACAATTTTTTTGAGTTTTTGAGCATTATGTGTCAAATAGCATACAAAAACTATAAGGTAAAGATTCAGGAAAAATACTTGCTATCAATATGTTGAAGGCCGAACATTTTTATATAGTTGTATATATAGTTTGATATAAATATGTTTAAAATATAGAATATGAATATGTAAAGATGTATACATACGTGTGTGTGTGTGTGTGTGTGGAGAGAGATTTGAAATAATCCCATTCTTTTAGAAAAAATTGTTAGTAAACCAAGATGATTTGGCAAAATTGTGTGGTGGATAAATTAAGATGGAAATTTAAAAGAATTTTTTTTAAGTTGTACACACTTCACCCAGGTTCCCTAATATAGCATCTTACATTAGCACAGTACAATTATGAAAATGAGGAAATTAATGTTAATATAATTCTATAATACTATTACGAAAAGTGAAGTGACTCATTCCACTCCCATGGAAAGAGTGACTTCAGGCAACTCTTAAAGGATATGTCGAAAAATGTATAAAATATTTTCTCGTCGTCCTACTAACATCTTTTTTTGGCCCAGGATTCAATCCAGGGTCACATTTTATATTTAGTTGTAGTATCTCCTCAATCTCCTTTAAATCAGTTCCTTGGAATTTATTTGCCTTTCATCACCTTAGTACTTTTTGTAGAGTCCTGATCAGTTATTTCATAGGGTAGCTCTCAATTTTGGTTTGTCTGATGTTTCTCATACTTAACACGTTTTTGGTAAGAACGCCATAGAAGTGATGGATCCTTAGTGCATCACACCAGAAGGCACTGGATGTCAACTTGTCATTGGTGATTCTAACTTTGATCACTTGGTTAATGTGATGTTGGCCAGGTTTCTCTATTATAAAGTTAATATCTTCTCTTACATAATAATTATCTTCTGGAAGATACTTTGAGACTATGTAAATACCCCACTTATCATATTCTGCCCATGAATTTTAGTAGGATATGTTGATGATTTTTACATGAAATATTTATTGCTCTGGTATATGTCAAATGGTAACTTTCTATTCCCATTATCCCTCCTACATCTATTAATTGGAATTCTGTAAAGCAAGAGCTTTCCTTTCACCCCCATTTTTTATTCAGTGATTTATAACAGTATAGATTAATGGGCATATATTTTATTCTATGAATTATAATGTGTTGCTATCATTTTGTTGTACAAATAACCACAACAGATTTAGCCATTGGGAGGCCCTCTGAGTTGGCCCTTGTGCTCTTCCTCTTTTTTTAACGTGTTATTTACTGTGTGAATACTGGTTAACATTGGCCGTGCACTTTTGCATTTGCAAGGTTAGTGGATGGAAATTGTGCCACTTGCGCAGTGCTGTGATTTCTCACTGAACAATTTGAGCCTTGGCATCATCTTCAGAGAACGGGGACACTAATAACCACCTCAGAGGAGCAGAATGGGGATGAAATGACACAATGGTTGTGCCAAACCTATATTGGGCACTAAATATATGTATCTTTTCCTTATAGTACATGAAAATGCACATTTTTGCCATCTTCCTGATAGGTAGATAGATGGACTACTAGTGATCTTTGACAATACCTGAAACTGAGGCAAACAGTAAGATTACTTTTAAAAAATTTCAACATTTACCTGGAGTCCACAGACCTAAATGATAGTGTTCTAGCAATTTCTATTTATTGGTAGCTGTATCATGTGTCTTTTTGATACAACCCTGTGGTGGAGAGAATTCTCATATGGCCCCAAGATTGCCAGACCACGGTGTATCATCCAGTCATTTGATCAATCACTGACTTAGGTACTACTGTGAAAAATTTTGCAGATGTAATTAAAGTCCCAAACCAGTTGATCATAAGATGAAATGACCCGTGTGGGTATGACTTAATCACATGGGCCCTTTAAATATGGTGGAGAGCTCAGAGACAGAAGAAGTCGGTGCAAAATGTGAGAGGGATTCAATATAAGAGCAATTCTGGCTTCAAAGATAAAGGGAGCCATGTGACAAGGACCTGAGAACAGCCTCCAGAGGCTGAGAGTGAGTCCTGGCAGCCAGCCAGCAAGGAAACAGGGACCTCAGTCCTACAACCTCAAGGATCTGAATTTAGCCAACAACTTGAATGAACATGGAAGTGGGTTCTTCCCTGGAGCCTTCAGAGAGGAACACAGCCTGGCTGGCACCTTGATTTCAGCTTTGTGGCACTCTTAAACAGAGAACCTTGCCTGTCAAGTGGGACTTCTGACCTCCTGGACTAAACTAATTGATTGTGTGTGTGTGTGTGTGTGTGTTAAGTTGCTAAGTTTGTGGTAATTTGTTATGCAGCAATAGAAAAGTTATATAGACTATCATTTTTAGCACTTCCATACCTTTTCACACAGATGTTTTGGCACAAACATTTCTCTTGTAATATCTCCACTCTAGTCTTGGAATCATTTCTCCAAATAGCCCTGGTTCTTTTACTGGAGAATGGTACTTAGAAATGAAGGTCTGGGTGCAAGATCTACTCATTGTACTGAGTATCACTGCTTCTAGATCCTCTCAGCTGACAGAACTACAAAATATATGTGTATACAACTATATGTATTTCTTCATCTATCAATATACTTGTGTCTATATCTGTATATATACTTTAAAAAAAAAGAGTTCATACTGATACTTCCAATTTCAATCCAACACCACAGTGTTGATTATAAATTCTGTTCTTATTTTTAATTCCTTTGAAAACTAGACCTCATATCCACTATTTATTTATTTATGTATTTATTTATTTCCTCAATTTTCAAATACACCTAACACTGTTTAGAAACTGCTAACCTATAGTACTATTCTAAACAGACCTGCTAATTGGAGTAGAATATCTGTATGTACTTTTGTGTTTAGCCTTTGGATATTCAATTAACAATGTTTTCTAAAGTAACTTAGGTTGGTTCTTTCCTTTCCATCCTTCCCTTTGGAGTGGTTATGTTACAGTAATACAGTTGGATTCATTTGTTTCTGTTTCTATATCAGTTTTTATTCCCCATCTATTTTTTTTTTAAGTTTGTAAAACATTCACATGGTTCTATGAATCAGAACTATACAAAAATTTATATTCAGAGATGTCACTCACACTAACTCTTCTCCCCCATTTTCGTTCCCCTGTTTTTCCTACTTTGTTCCCCTTACTCCTCCCCCCCCCGTAAATAAACAATTTCATTAGTTTCTGGTTTGTTCTACTGCTTTTCTTTTGCACTAATGGGCAGATACACATATAATTTCTTCTTTATATATTTATAACTCATACAATTTTATTATAAAACTATAATTCTAATAACTGGGTAATAGACAGAAAAATAGTTTACAAAAGAAAAAGTATACATGAGGATAAAAATAAACATTTCTGCTTAATTGTGATCCCAAATTTTAAGAATCTTTTTTTCTATATAAATTGGCAAAAGTTGCACATAACACTTTATTTTTATTTATTTATTTTTAATTTTTTTATTTATTTATTCATGAAAGTCAGAGAGAGAGAGAGAGAGGCAGAGGCAGAGGGAGAGAAGCAGGCTCCCCGCCTAGCAGGGAGCCCGATGCGGGACTCGATTCCAGGACCCTGGGATCATGACCTGAGCCGAAGGCAGACACTTAACCATCTGAGCCACCCAGGTGCCCCAACACTTTATTTTTAGTAAAGCCTTTCTGAAAAGCAGCTTGGTAATATACTTTAAGAGCCTTATCATAATCTTTGAACTAGTCTTCATTCTGTGTCTAAAAATATTTCTTAAAGAAATCAGAAAACTAGATGCAAATTTACACATCACTCTAATAATAAGATATTAGAAATAAAAAAGTAGCTTATGAGAATTGATGGATTATTAAAATACACATGCTAGACTATAATGAGATCACAAGTTGGTATTATTAAGAGTTTTAATGATATAGAAAAATGCTCAAAAATAAAAATATTAGGACTTTCAGAGCTGATCAAACTCTCTCTCCCACTAATTACAACTAAAAGCCCAACTAAAATATACTCGTGGTCACTGAAAACTAAATGAAGGCATTACTGGATAGAGAATGGAAGTCAAATTAGCAAAGCAACTCATATGGAGTAAAGTTTTATGGTTTTATTTTTTACTCTCCCAGCTTTGAACCAAGAGTGACCACCTAGTAGAACAGCAGTGGCCAGCATGAGCAGCTCAAACTCTGAGAGAAACCTATCTTTTTGGCCAGAAGACCAGGAAAAGGAGCTACTTTGAGCAAGAGTTGAGGAATTC